GAAAAAAATTCAAGCTAAGGATAACTTTCCTGGAGCATTTGGGAAGCACAACAAAAGAAGCAATGAACATTGATTCAAATATTTGCAGCCATGAAGTGCATCTCCCGATGGATGTCAAGATATGACCACCTGCTGTCCGAAGAATTGATTCACACCCCCAAGGTGTCGTAACCTTTCTGAATTCAGCCACAAGCTCAGCACTGATAACTGAGTAGTCGGCGCCGATGTGGACCAGAGCAGTTAACGGATGGTTCTCAACTAGAACGGCAATGTCATCAGAAACAAGTTCACCGGTGATGAGAGGTGTCGGCTAAAAGGAATCGTCGAAGGCTGGCGGATGGGTTGAACGAGGCTGTTTTGACGATAGCTTAACAGCGATCTCACCCCTGGAGGCCGCTGATCCGCTAGGTCCCCAAGTCCACGTCGGGGAAACGAGGATCTCACCCCTGGAGGCCGCTGATCCTCGTTTCCCCGACGTGGACTTGGGGACCTAGCGGATCGTACCGCAACAACATCGGCGAAAGTAGAGCATTAATTCAAGGACGTAGAGCATCGCGGAGACGGAGAGCGTGATTCGCGTCGCTGAATATTCGGAAACAGTAGGATTGCCAAATATTCTTCAATAGCGCCGGGTCGTTCCCCATCCTGGGGCCGACGAGCGTCTGGCCGAAATCGAGGCAGGCCCATCTGTCTGTACGAGCACTCCCGGTGCAAGTGACCTGGCTCACCACAGTGGTAGCAAAGTGGCCGATTGTCGTAATTGCACCACAAACTAAATTTCCGCACATTAGGTTGCGGATTCTCATAGTGTGGCGGGCCCGAGAAGTACTGCGGCATCTGCAGGCAAGTCGGTCATGGGTTTTTATAAGGCGGCAGGCCCGAGAAGTGTGGCAGCGTCTGCAGGCTGGTCGGTCGGGGAGAATAGCTGGCTGCCGGCGCAGAAGTGCGTGCAGCTTCCGCATACGTTAGCAGGGGAGCTTCGGCTGGTAGCGCCACTAATGGTCGTACCAGCTGCCTGTACCTCTTCACGGACGACGTCTGTCAGAGCATCCACTTGAGGCTGGCAAGGCACTTACGCGAAGCTTTTATAGCTCGTCATGTGCAATGCCATGGACTAGCTCAGCAAGGTCTCTCACGCTCGTGCCGTCGGTTGTTGCCAAGGGTGCTGACAGACAAGCAAGATTATTTGACCACTCATACTGCGAAGACCGCTGTCTTAGCATTCACTCCATTGTGGTCCCTTCACAGAGGCATTCCGCCAAGGTAGCGTGTGGTTTCGCACAAATCCAGCAGACAGCTGCTCCTTGACACCCCGCATCAGAAAGCGTACCTTATTGTCTTCCGTCATCGTGGAATCAGATCGACGGACCAGATGAGACATCTCCTCAATAAACATAGTCACGCATTTATTCGGTCTTTGACTGCGAGAATTGAGGAGACTTTCTGCTTGTTCATTTCGGTCGGTGATACCATACGTGTTCGGCAGCTGAGTGCAAAACACAGGCCAGGTTGTCATGACAGCCTCGTGGTTATCAAGCCAAATACGCGCTGAATCCTCCAGGAAAAATTAGGCATACTGGAGTTTCGGTGCTCGTCCCACTCGTTGGCGGCGGCGACCCGATCTTATTGGTGTAGTCAGTCTTCAGCGTCTTCATAGGGCTTCACATGGGAGGGCTTTAGGATTCGAGAGGCTGGTGGCCAGGGAGCTGGTGGAGTCGTGGTCTGTTCAGTCTGGCTTGCAGTTGTCGCACTTGCCATGGTTCTGGAGCGTTCCAGAAGTGGGCCGAATGGCGGTGGTAAGCCTAGTTGCCGCCGACTGCGCCGAATGTCCGCTGTTTCTACCAAGGCGTCGATGTTGGGGCGGAGACCTTCCTCGTGGTAACAGTGCATAGGCTGTTACCCAGAACCTCCACCAGTGGCACGTTACACCGTAGCTGCAACCTGTAGATAAGACCACACAAAAACGTCAGACCGATTCGATCAACGGCAATACAACTTTATCGTCTTCTCCGCAAGGGCATCTTCGTCCTCTTTTGAACAGCGGCACATGTAAGCCTGCCAGCATATATGAAAACAATACTTGTAGATCTTGTACTAGTGGCAATATCAATTGAAAAAAAGTACTTTTATTTCAGCCCTAAATTTGGTTTCCTTTCGAATGCTAACAATTTGCTCTGGAGGACTATTCCCATAACTTATTGGTTGTGGCAAGGCGGACGAATCAAATGTCATGGCTTTCCCTTGAATGCGTTGATAGCTTAATGGGCTATTCAAATGGCGTGAGGTGCGTAAAGTTTTTACGAGAGGCAAGGATGACTTATGCGCATTATTGACAATCTCGTGAAATGAGCAATGCTATGCAAGTAGTGTGCGTGACTGCAAGGTAGCACGAGAGAGAGGTGATATATTGCTTGTTACGCAGTAGTGATGGTTATAGTTTTTGGAAAGAAAATCTTGGGCACAACTCGGAATAGGTTCAAGGAAATTGATTGGTAAGCCTGATGGCATGACCAAATGGGTGACGTGAACTGTGACAATACGCGTCGGATATATAGAGCAGATATATCGAACAGATTCCACCTGCCGACAGTGCGCACCTTCGAAATGATTGTAATGGCATTTGTAAAAGCCAGTGAAGGGAGTGTGAGCCGTTGAAGGGAAGTCGTACGACCCTTTAAAAATGGCACCTACTCGAACCGTTCACCTCAGACCGAGGAGTGTGTTGGATTTTCGTTTATGAAAGAACAGACTTAAGTGTGCGCACGAGAGGAGAACTCCCGCATGGCGTGCTGAACCAAACATTCACCTTATATGAATGCGTTTTTTTCACATGAGTCATCAAAACGTTTGTTTTGCTCCACTCTACGAGCGCATATTGCTTTACTTTACAGCCATCTTCTCCTTTTCGTTAGGCGATGTATTGATTGCTCTTACTCAAAATATTCTACACCTAACAAGGTATCACGAAGCACTGCCATCGTGGTCGATGTCGTGAGAATACGTCATCGTTTGACACCACGTTATGTGGCGTAATGTCGAAGTCGAAGGTATGGGCAATAGGTAACGTCATAATGACTCCATATGATGACATGATCACGTGGTGGGGATCTTTTTTTTTTCATTGCTCATCCTGCCGCAGCTGACGCGCGACGCCGTTGACCAATCTTCCCGTTCTATGAGACATCAAATACTTTCGCCTTCATAAGCTGTACACGACGTTTTTCGGTGGATGTAATATCTGCGTCGAATGAAATACGAAGAGTGCCAAGCTTCATGATGGTATAGGGCACACCGTTTACTTATCACCATGTACAGGTATGCAATGGGCGCAGATCCGCCGAGTTGTACACGCTCACCCATCAATCGTGGTAACTGGATAGCGTGCACTATACCGTCGCGAAGGCTTGCTGATGTTCGGTTTTCAATTTGCGCTGAATAATACAGTGCAGTTTACTGCTAAAGCAAGCAGTCACATGAGAACCTTTAATTACGCTGGCCTCCTAAATGCGAGGGGTTGATGAAAAGTGGTTTGCGCATGGTTCTCGTTCATTAAGAAAACTTAACATTAAACCATAAACAGGGGTGCAAGCAGTAGGTGGCACACCAGGCCCACATCTCGCCCCCCCCCCCCCCTTGAAAAGATTTCGCCATGGCATAGAGAGCGGAAAAGAACCACTTTAAGGAAGTTCCCTTCCCAAATTATTAGAGAAGTCCCTCCCCCCTCACCGAAAAACATTCTGGGTACCACCCTGGCCACAAGTAGTCTTGTGCAAATCTAAGCTATTATTCATTTTCGAGCCGAATATGGATATGCACTGCACACCTGCGTTATGATTAACAGTGCACCCGTCTATACACTGCGAGCAAGTGAAATGCTGCGGTTGATGTGGGCTGCATTTATGTTTCCATTAACATTCGTTCAGTCAATCGTGCATTCTGCTGACGTAAACACGATGCGCTAAAGGCCCAGATTCATTTTTTTCTGTCTCCAACTCAAGCTGACGCTTTTCAACAACGTGCATGCTCTTGGAGGCTTATTTATTTGTGCGAAAAAGATGCCGAATCATTTTGATAGACAAGAGATATTACCATAAGTGCTGGGCAGGTTGGCGAAACTTTCTGGGCATTGAAATTTTTCCTTTCACTTTTTACGCGTTGATGTTACTGTGATTTGAAGTTGCACGTTGCTTTAATTCCTTCTGCCTCTGTCACCACTATTTCAAACTCATTTGAGTTCTTGTTCACACCACCATTTGCGGAGCAACTCCGGCGAGTGGTACTGTATGTTCTTCCGTTTCGTTTTCGTTGCATGCTACTAAATGAACTCATAGACCACTTCTCTATCGACAAACAATCTAAAAATGGTGAAACTTTGATCTTTATATTTGTTTATGGCAGAAAGCGGCAACTTCAATCAAAGAAAAATGAAGCTATATTTGAGGAACGTATTAAAAACGCATCGCGTTTGCATACATTTTGTGTGAGCTCCAAGAAAGGCGAACACATTGAAATAATATAGGCAACAGCAGTTCCCCGTTTGAAAGACTGATCAATATGCATTGTAAGGCAACATGTCAAATTAAATTGGAACATATACAAACTTGTCCGGAAAAAACGTTAAAGTGTCGGGACAGCACATCAAAAGTTTCCATACGCGCGGGGAAGTCTTAGATCTAACAGTGTTTTAACTGCTGTGATAGCGTCCACTCAAGAGGAGTTCTTCAAGTTATTCGTGTCATAACCACCCTGACATATTGGTTGACCTTTTGCTGATACTAATATTTATTTATCCCAAGTTTATAAGGTAATCACGAGAGTTCTCAAACGTAGATGGCTAGATTGACAGTAGATCTCATACTCACGAGATGCTCAAGCAACCATCAGTTCGATATACTCAAAGATGCATCAGAATCGAAAGAACGAGATGCTCAAAGTACCGGCATTTCCCTAGAAATTCTACGCATTTGAAACATAACCAAGCTTCTTGTGTTATTGCGCAGGTTCGAGTCAACGGTACGTGGCCAGTTTTTCGGGCACACGCACACCGATGAGCTCGAGGTCTTCTACGAGTCCATTGGTGAGCAGCATTCAGCAATGAGGCCGTATGCGGTGGCCTACGTGGCACCTAGTACTACTACGTTCAACTCCGGAAACCCGGCCTTCCGTGTGTATGTCGTCGATGGAAACTACAATAACAGCACCTGGGTAGGTTCAAACTGAAGTCTGATCTAGCAGGAACGTAATTCATGAGGGTGAATCAACTGCATGTACTAGATCTAACGGTACTTTCAGGATGGCCTCTAGGAAGTCATGTTGTGTGGGGTGTACCATAATTTGTCTGGCTCCTGGAGCAAGGTCATCCACCACTACAGCGTGGCCTACTCGCTCATAGTCGTGTATAGTGGCTTCGTATATGTGTTCAATACCTTCTATCAATATCTTCTAGCTGGAAGAGGAGGCCGCAACCTTTTTTTGTCACAAAGTTCAAATATGTCTTGTCAAGGCAGTGACACTTCCCATTTTAGTGTAAGATGATGCCTTGAAAGATTGCGTCACGTTGCTGACTTTGGTAAGACCATCAAACTCATTAGATATTCCAAGGTTTCGCAAATGAGTTTTGCGGAAACCTACAAATTGGCGGGAGGGTTAAGAAAGAAAAAAAGACAACTTTCCGCTTGTAGCACAAAGCCACAAGGAAAGTCACACTGATTTCTCGGAAAGAAAAGCCTTCTAATTGCCGAAAAATTTGTCCTGGACCTCAGACCAGGATAAATGTTTTAGCAACTAAAAGGCTTTTCTTTCTGCGAAGTCCATTTGATTTTTATAGTGGCTTTGTGCTACAAACGGGTAGTTGTCTTTTCCTTTCATAGTCCAATTAGCGCAAGTTCCCATCACATCTTTGAAACTGATCAAACTGCTCTAGTTCACTTTTCAAGGCCCAAACCATCTTTATTCCTGTGGCACACTGCGATATATTACAAAGGTGTCCTTGGAATGTCCAGCCAAGCTTATACAGTTTAAGGAAATCACTGTATCGTTGTCCCCACACTATAAAACATCACCGCTAAGGACTCTGCACACTTGATCAGAATGATTAGAACGCTAGTTGTACTTTGTGTGGTCAATGATGCGTTGAAGGGTTAATCAGCCACATCTTTTTCCAATTTCCTAAAACATGCAACGAATTACATCCCCTTTTTGTTAATGTTAGGAAAATTCTCGGACTCCTAGTGGTGTTAAGCACAGCTATCATGTGAGCAAACTGACTTCGTATGCGAAGCTCCAGAGTTCGTCAATTTTCAGCCGCTTGATTAGGGGCACTGGCAAAGTTTTTTAGAGGCATGCTCGTGAATGAGATAAAGTTTAAGGCAACAGTGTACGTGATATACCCTATATGCATTTTATGAAATATTTGTGTGCTTTTTTCTCCACAACTGTACGAGCTACAGTACCTATTTCACTATCATTGCGATCAGAAGCCTTTCCTTGTTTTACTGAAGCACGCTTATCCTTGCATATTGTGAGCCTCACTTGTACACAAGTTTTTTAATTCACATATCTAATTGTCACTCAGTAATAGTAGTAGTATCAAATTGTGACTCAGTAAGAATGACATCTTCTGAAGTGGGCTTGGTTAGGACTGCTAGGCCCATGTCGGTAATGGCTTCATAAAAACCACAAATGCCCCAGTACAGACTTGTTTGCCCAACGGTGTCTGAGAGCGGACTCCCACCCCCCTAAGTTCCGTAACTTAACGCAGTGTGTCTAGTGGAGTTACATAATTGACGTCAATCGCTAGGATATACTTGCGGCTATTCACTCTGACTTCCTTTACTATGTTCAGCATCCGTGCTTCTTCATGTACATACACAGCCTGCCGGTTGAAGCACCTCATGTTATCAGTGGCGAGAACTGGCAACAAGAGGATGGTTAATACCGAGATATTCCGCGAAGATCGCATTGTGGACTCACTCGAAACGGGCAACATGCTCAGAAATTGTCCCTCTCTGCTGCCGTTCTTCGCAATCTTGAGGGTGTCGTGATCCAATTCTTCACCCTTGACGCGAAAGTGTGTAGTAGGCGCATTCAAACCAAGGCGGCCAGGAACACAGACTGAAGCCCGAGGGCAGCAGTGACGAGGCGCACGTTCAGCGCCTCGTCAGTACACATTCGGATAGAGAAGCCCTAGAATCAACACAGCTGGAGTGATATTATATGATTTGCTCTCTACATCCCCTCTTTTTGAGGCAAAAAATTACGTGGCTGATCCCTCTTAATGAAAATTCGAAGAACATGAAACTAAAACATGTCTCTACAGTCATATTTTAGCGTTCATTGTGCATGTGTTTCACCACAAGGGCGAAGGAATCAATGCTACAGCAAAGGATTGCAATGCCATGCAAAGAACTATGAGCAGCTCGAAACTTGCCATGCGCACCTCAAACGGAGAACATGCTCAGAATAAGCACACATAAGACGAGCAAGGATAACCAACTGTCACAGTTCGACCCTTCAAGCATGCTGCTTTCTCTCTCTCTCTCACACACACACACGCACGCACACGCACACAAAGATGCATGGAACGAAAGCACAAGACAAGTACAAAGAACTGTCATTATTCTTACTTCTTCGTTTGTGAGCAGCATGCTTCTTTTGTCAACACGGCCGCTGCAGCGAGAACAAATGCCTTCGTTTTTTCTTTAACAGCTGCAAATTCAAAGGAAACTTGCGGTAGAAGTGCAAAGGTACACAGAACGCGAACATTGAGATAAGCAATCGCACTAGGGAGTTACCATGCCCGATAGCATCTATATGGACTTCGACCGCGCAATGTGGAAGCACGCGCGCAATGCAACGCACGGTATTGCGCGGGGCGACGACTGCCTGAGCTAGTGCACTCGACACTGTTCAGCACGCTGTCCTCGCATCATGTGGCTACTGGAGACGAAAAGGCGCTGAAATGTTGTACCCACCCCCTCTGTAATGCCCTACGGGCCCTGAGGATATTCTAATAAATAAATAAATAAATAAATAAATGGCTGAGCTCTCAACAACAACAGTGGCCCCTATGATATGTGGGGTTTAACGTCCAAAAACCACTCTATGATTATGAGAGACGCAGTAGTGGAGGGCTCCGGAAATTTAGACCACCTGGGGTTCTTTACCGTGCACCCAAATCTGAGCACGCGGGCCTACAACTTTTCCGCCTCCATCGGAAATGCAGCCGCCGCAGCCGGGATTCGAACCCGCGCTCTGCGGGTCAGCAGCCGAGTACCTTAGCCACCTGACCACCGCGGCAGGGCACAGCGGCCCCTGGTGTGTAAGCACCGTTGACGACGTTTTTTTTTTCCTCTGTGTAAGTGCCAAAAACTATTGAACATGTATTTATTGATTGTAAGAATACCATATTTTTGGGACATATTGCAGAGTACTAAAGATAGCTTCACTGCTTAATCCACCCTAAATATGCTTTTTGCCCTTTGGAAATTTTGCTCAGCATTTGGATGTTTTCTTTTTACTTTGTCTACATTTCATGTGGCGCAGCATGTTAGCTTATAGACACGGTAACTATTGCGGACGCCGGCCCTCGTTGTGTGTAGCGTCACCAGAAAGACGGAGCCGAGAAAAAACCAACTGAATACCTTTATAGCGATTAAGGAGCACTCAACTGTTCATGATGCTGCTTGTCTGTAAACGCTTCTTGGCGCGGAACAGAGGAGAGAGCAGCCCACCATCGCTCCCTCTTCGTCATAGTCTGCTAATCTCCGCCATTCTCCGCGGCCTCAAATGTGGCCACACTTAGCTCCTGACAATGTAAATTTTGCATTGGCCTCCGATTTCTAGGGGAACAACTAAAGCCCATTTTATGTGCGTATTTCTGTACAGTGTCTGCTGCTCTTTGTAATGCTTCGCAAGTTTGCTCATCTGAGCCTGTGAAGGTCCGAGCTCTTATCATAAGAAACAGCAACAAGAAGGACGACCCCTACAGTGAAGTGCACTTTGCCGTCAATATCATAGTAAACGAAAACACTGTCCCTACTGTTCCTACAATCAGACTGTTAGGAATGCTTACCAAGCATAACACTCATAACGCAGAAGCTAAAAACTAAGCCACACATCAAACCACAAGGCTTTTGGGGAGAGCGGCAACTAAAAATCAAGGACTCAAGCAACAAGACCTATGCAAATTATTTCACGCTTTTTATTCAGAAGGGTCACCTACTCGTTTTCCTACTACCATCTATGAAAGGGAGATATGGATAAACTAAACTTTCTGATAAGACAAGCATACAAGCGTGCTCTGGGACTTCCTAGGTACGCGAGCACAGAGACACAACAAAGTGAAAGAATTTATTGAAGGACACTTAATGGCCGAAAAGGAAAGACTTCAACACACCAAGGCATGCTTGCCGGTACTCAGTCGTCTCGGGCGACGCACTAGTTTCACACTCACGGACAAGGTTTTTTTACCAGCGTCTACTCGCGCACCCCTTTAAGTTAAACCCCTGCTTAAAAATATGGTGTCAGGAATGCATGACGAAAGAAAAAAAGGAAAGGGCAAAAAACCTCGCTCAAATCTTCCAAGATCGCCGAAACGTACTGTGTGTTCATGCTGCTGGACAAGCGAGAGACCGTTACACCGTATGCGCGGTGACTGGCCATGGGCAACCTATTACTGCAGTTACCGTGAAAACAGCCTCTGCGTTATAGGCAGAAGAAGCCGCCACCGGGGTCGCTGTCTCTGTTAAAGCCACTAATTACATCCTGTTTGTTTGTAGAATGACCCTAATGAACTTTATATTGGGCGGTGCGGGCCTGATCGTGGCCAACATCCTCCAAAATAACCAACAAAGCGATAAGTTAGAACTCTTATGGATGCCCGCTCCCGCAGGGGATTCAGAGAATGAGGACGCTCACCGTGCAGCCCGAGGTTTATTCAACCTGGAGGTGAAATCTTCAGCCGTGGACTTCTCGCAGAAGGCATCACGACATATTGTCACAAGGACAAAGAAACGCGGGCAGAAAACAGGGTGCTTACTTTTGATACAAAAATTCAAAAAATGAACACGCACCCGCAAAACTACTTCGTTATCCTCCTTAGATGCTGGCCACAATAGTTGCCAGCTTACCTTGCGTCAATTTTCCCTTTCAAGACCAACCGTCCCACTTGTTTGCTTAAGATGCTGGAGATGGCCATAGAGTAA